TACCTGTTCTACATTGATTAAAACTCCTCCGCACACATTATCAGACGAAACAATAACAGTAGTGGGCTTCTCTGGGGAAAAGCAGACTCTGCCAATCACCGTACCTATTGTCACCCAGCTGGGTGGACAAAAAGTGACACATTCATATGTTCATTCGCCCACTGTGCCTTTGAATTTACTGGGAAGGGATCTCCTGATAAAACTAGGGGCATCCATTCTGTGCAGCCCAGATGGACTAAGAGTGACTCTGCCTGACGGCACCGAACTCCAGTGTGACGGTGTAGCCACAAGTGGGCAGTACCTGATGCAACCGATTGAAGAGACATATGCTGACATCTACTGGGGAACGCTACAACCAGAGACTGTTGAGACGCCTGGTATTCTCTCTGCGTACCTGCAGTGGAAGCCCTGGATCGCCCAAATCGAACCATATGTCTCTCCACCCGATCCTCCTCATGTAACTCTCTTCTATGATAGATTACAAACAGATTGGTACCTTGACAAATTCCAAGACCAATTGGAAGGAAACTCGTGGGAAATTAAAACACAAAACATTTATGTGGCTCCGGAGGGTGTTGCAGCCGGTGTAGACCTGACTCCTGATCAATTGGATTGGTACATGATGGGCGATGAAGCAGCTCCACATGTTTCTTTAGCTTTACATCCACGACATCAGGCTAAAGAATTAGGAGGCATGGTGAAAAGAGCATTGGCACAAACTGATTGGCAATTAACACAAATACCTCAAGTTCATTTCTCACCCACCACCAACACCTATAGAATCATGTTGTGTGCTGTTAACACAGCCACCCTAGAACATGAACAAATCGCTCGACATCATGGGAGAGAGAAAACAGATCATGAGGGAGCTAAAGCTATGCTTAACACTTTACCTGACCATTTATGGGCAGACGATCCGACAGATGTGGGTCTCACTGATTGCCCACCTGTAAAATTTTCAGTCAACACAGACACTCCAATATGGATCCGACAATATCCACACAAACCTCAGGCA